TTTCACTTAACAAACTACGTCCAATTTATGTTCTGTGTTACAGGGAGAAGGTAGAGCAACAGTGAGGTTGCCTGAGAGGGAGGACTTAGAGCCACCAACTGCAGCACCACAGACGGCAGTGACAATAGTTAGGAGGGAGCAGGCAGCAATGTGGGGTTTCCGGTTAGTCAATGCCTTCCTTCCTAAACCCCTCAATGGGGAGCACCATCACCCCAAATGCCCCTGCTTCCCTGGCCACAGATGACTGGGGTAGACACTTCTGACCCAAGCTGAGACACACGGATTCTCTCCCAGGGGGTCTGGAATTGGGGACACGGGCCTCTGGTCAGCCACAAATGGCCCCTGGAACTAGGACAGCAAATAAGAGGGGCCAGCATGGCCATATTCATTATGTACCCTGGAAAGCAGAGAAAACTGGGCTGTGGAGAGAGGAGACTGAAGCAGCATCAGGAAAAAGGAAGGAGAAATTAGGTCGCCCCCAGAGAAAAACAAAGGTGCCAAGAACATAGTTGTCTCGATCCCCCGTGGCCTCTCAGGGTTTTGTTTCCTCCCTGTGGGGCCTGGCTGGCCTTCCTGCCCTGGCCCACGTTCAGTATCCTGGCCATTTTAGTTCAGGCGAGTGTGAGATGTCTGTCACTTGAAACCCAAAGGGCCTGGGCTAAGTGAGCCAGCTGGCAGAGGGAGAGGCTATACCAGGGTTCCTGGTGGCACAGAAAGGGTCTCCCCTGGTGGTCTTACCACACTGGCCTGTCCAAATCAGACAGGCACACTGTGTAATTTTTGCTGATGATTAGATTAGGTGCAACAGATTCATGGTTGCCCTAAAGCAGTGTTCTCTTAGTTACTTCCTGATACATGTTCTTGTGGAGTAGAGAAGTGGGAGGCATTATCCGATGGCATGCCTCAAATTTTGTCTAATCTGGAATATTTCTACAAGGTTATGTGTGTCTGCTGCTGTCATTGGTCATGTAGGTGGCAACAGCAAAACAAAAGAGACACTGATCTTGCCGATCCCTCTAACAATTGGTTAGTCCCATTGCCTGGGCATTTGACACACATCTGTAGGTGTGGCCCTGCCCCAGATTCAGGGGCAAATGCTGGGTATCACTGAAGGCTTTGACAAGGGCTGCTTCACAGTTAAGAGGACAATGGTTACCCTGTGACTTGTCCTGCTCTGTTCAAATGTGCAGGTTTGGATTTCTGGGCTTCTACCTTCATTCTGAGACTGAGTCTCAGTTCTGATTCCCTGTTGGATGACCTGAGTCCTTGATCTCCTGTTCCATAATCCAGCACCCTCCAAAGCCAGTAGTCGAGTTTGCTTACATCTGTTCCTCCCTGGGGTGAAATGCGTGAAACACAGACCAAGCTGAGACCTTGCTGAGACCTTGCTACCTACCCCTGTACTCCGTCACCTCCACTTTCCTCACTGCCAATAATGATATTGGCTTACTTAGGGTTACTGATGGGATGCCTATTTTTACCACTTGTTAGATCTTTCTAACTCTGCTTTCTCTAAGCTACCAGATCATCTGCTGCTGTTCCTAGGGTCCAGGTGGCCCCACAGTTTTTCCTGTGAGGCAGAGTCCCTCTCACTGACCTCACTGGGCACTTATCAATGCCTAGCGGTCAACGGATATGGTAGAATGAGCACATTTGAGGGACCCTGGGTTCAAATCCTTATTCTTCCACTTGGACAAGTTTCTTAATTTCTTTATAACTCAAAAGGATTATTGGAAAGATTACACAAGATTAAGTGCCTGGCAAAGCTTAGTAGGTATTTAATTAAATACACCTTTCTTTCCTGCACTTAGAGTTTTTCAAACAGCTTTACTGAGAAATAATTCACACACTATACAACTCACCAACTGAAAGGGTACAGTTCAATATTATTTAGTATATTCACTGCAGTTAGATTTCTTAAAAATGCAATTACAGTTGAAGGATCTGAGGTTTAATAACAGTTAAAAAGACTTAGGATTTTAGTCAGCTATAAGGTAATGTAAATTGATGGTGTGATGCATTGTATTGGCAAAAAGTCTGAGGTGATGTTGGGCTGTGCTGATACAGATATGATGACTGGAACAGGAGAAGTCATGGTTTCATTATTCTGAGCTGGCACTGTACTTATTTTTAGAGCTATGTGGGCAAAAGCAACCATGTCCAGAGCAATAAGAAACTGCAAATGTTGCTTGTAGGAGCCAGTGATTCTCACCCTGGAGAAATCAAGCCTAAAAGGAGATGAAATGCCCTCTTCAGTTAGCTCTGGGGCTCTTGTTTAGAAAACAAATGACATGTATTTCTGTGTTCCTCCCCTGGGCCAGAATCACAATAGGTGAATTTAATTTAACGCAGGAGATCTTGACATAATAGAAGGAACAATTGAAGCTGTCTGGCTGTCTAAAATTGGAGTGGATTGCCCCTTCACAACTGCTAACATAATACCCATATTCCTGAAATAATCCTCCTGAAATTCTATATTTACCATGTGATTAACAAGTCCAAAGGCAATGCTCTGCAGAGCTCCTGTTCTATCTTGCTGAGGAAGGTAAAGCCATCAAATAGGTCAACTCTTCTTTCTTCCTGATCAATCATCTAGTTTGTAGATTAAGATAGTTTATTCTTTTCTTTTTTCTTTCATTTGTTTTTTTGATGTAGGGTCTTACTGTGTAGCTCAGGTTGGCCTCAAACTCACAATCCTCCTGCCTCAGCCTCCCAAGTGCTGGGATTACAGGGATGTGCCATACTATGAAGTTTAGTAGTTCAATCTTTCTCTCATTTTTTATTTATTTTCCCTGCCCTCACTTTTTTGTGGTGGTGGGGATCAAAGAGAGGACCACGTGCATGTGAGGCAAGCATTTTACCACTGAGCTCCCCCTGCGGTAGCTACCTTCTTCTCTGCTTTTGGATCACAGGATAGAGAAAAAGAAGCCCCGAAGTGTCAATATGGATATTATGATAAGTTCTAGTGATGGTGGAATATTCCTTAAGACCTGGCATTACCTGACCAAGAGACTTCATTCATCTCTTTCCAATTCTCTATAAAGTAACTTCATCTTAGAAGTTTGAAATGGCTATAGTGGGAATATTTACACTACAGAAATTAGTGAACACTACTGATCAGCACATGCATCCTTAGTCTGTCCCACTTACCATCTCCCATGGCTCACGTGTCTGCTTCCCAAAGACTGCAGAATTGGCCCTATGCATAATAACAGGCCATAAATTCATAATAATGATTCATAAATCTTGTATAGAAAAGAATATGTAGAGCCAATGCTAACTGTCATATAATAGCAATTTGGAATTTAAATAGTTTAATTAGCTAGTTTCAGATGAGTGAAATGCTTAGGGGAAAATATGTGGCGACCACTAGACGCACTCAGCTCCCTTCAGGGCTACATATTTTTCTTTAGGAAAGCTCAGCATAATCATGGTCTGCATATCAAGCTGCCCCTTATGCACAGGTACTTCTGCTGTCCCCATGTCACAGACAGGAATCCACCTTCAAGACAAAAAAACCCTGAAACAGGAAGATAAGGCTCCCGCTAGCCTGCACTTGTCCTGCAAAAGTAGCTCCTTATGGCACCTGTTGGATTTCGAAAGAACAACCTCTCAGGTTTTGACTTAAAGGTAGCACACTCTAGCAAGTACTTTCTGCAGCGGGAACGTGTTCACAGTATTCCTCAAGGCAGGACTACTGTACGCACATTGCATTTTCCTCCCCGGTACCGGGGATTGACTTCAGGACCTTGAGCTGGTGAGGCAGGCACACCGCCACTGAGTTAAATCCCTGGCCTTACATTGCATTTTATAAGTTCTTATGAGGGAAATCTCCAACAGCCTAGGATTCCCAGAGCCAACTGCTTTCTTCATTGTCAACAAGCCCAAGGAATTACAGTTAGCATTTATTACTTGCAGTATACTGTGCACTATTTTATCTTTACATAACCTTAAGAAATAGAAACGTTTTCATTTTTATAGCTAGGGAAACAACTTAGATTAAGTGGCTGTTAAAGTTTCTGTGTTCCTAAGAAAGACGGTTTACTTGGCCTACTGCTTTGTATATAGCAGACATTCCATAAATAGTTGAATAATTTTTTCAATGTGAATAAATAGAGCACCATTCTCCTTCATACTCTGAACCTTTTAACCACTAGCCTTTTAATCAGCTTTTATCTCATGGAAAAACAGAGAGCATTTCATTTATTTTGCCTGTATATACTTTCCCAGGGAAGAAGAAACACAGCTCACTACAATGTTTCATTAACCCTAAAATGACCTCAAATTATCTTCCCCGTTTTAGAAACAAGTTAACTGGGGCTTAGCCAGAATTCAGGGGTCTTTGGGTTTTTCATCACACCAAACTGAGACAGGGGACTGATCAAAGGCATGTGTCTAGGGGCCGGGGATTTAGCTCAGTGGTTCCGCTACCTGCCTCATAAATGCAAGGTCCCGAGTTTGATCCCTGATACCACAAAAAAAACAAAGGCATGTGTCTAGAAAGTTGTAAACTTTCCAGTAAAGTTGTGACTAGAGGAGAAGGATTCTAGATAAGCCAGACAGAATAGTTAGACCTCAGAGAACGACCACGAAGTCAGTTGGACTGAGCGTGGTGCTTGATCATCATATTCCTGGGATGATTAGTACTAGGCATTGGCAAGATGAGACCAAATTCTGATTTTCCAGAAGCCTGTGGGCCTGGCATGATGGTGCATACCTGCAATCTCAGCTACTTGGACGGCTGAGGCAGGAGGACTGCAAATCTGAGGCCAGCCTGGGCAACTTAGAGAGAACTTGTCTCAAAATAAAAGGGGTGGGGATGTAGCTCAGTGGTAGAGCCATTGCCTAGCATATGCAAGGTCCTGGGCTCAAGTCCCAGTACCAAAACAACAAGAAAAAAAAAAAAACCCTAAAATGCCTGTGGACTTTCAGTGAAGAGATGAAATAGACACAGGGAAAGTGAAATATCAGTCAAAAGCATAAAAAAAAAAAAGCTCACATAAGACAGCAGTGGTTATTTAGTGACTAATGCAGGCAATGAGAGTTCAGAAAGGGAGAGATTACATTTGCATAAGTGTATGCTGACCTCAATATCTTCATAAAACATCTGCGCTGTGAGCAGCTCAGTTACCATGAAGTTTGAGAGAACACCTTGTATCAGCAGCACCCTTTCTCCCCAAGGGACTCAGGGAGATAGAGAAGGGGTTTGTAGGAAGCAGTAGCAGGGGACACGAGGAGAAGGCCAGAGACCTGATCGCCAAGGTAGGCAGGTCATGTGCTGGGCGACCTCACCTGGTGACCAAACTTTGACTTCTCACATTTCTGGAGCCTGGAAGTCCAATATCAAGATGCTGACATTTGGTGTGGGCCTTCTTGCTGGGTCTTCCATGGCGGAAGGCGAGAGGGTAAAAAGGGGGAGAGCTCTTTCTCCCTTTAGGCAGTAGGAGCCTCGAGTTCTTTCTAGGCTTCACTTCTGAAAATTCTAAGCCTTCTGGGAGAACCTACAGCAGTGGTTCTCAACCTTGGCTATTCATGAAAAGCACCAGGGGAGTTTTTAAAAATACTGTCACCTGTATCACTCCCCCAGCTACTCTAATTGGTCTGGGTTTCTTCTTTGGTGATTCTAACAGGCAACCAAGTTTGAGCATCATTGACCCAAAGGGGTCCTGGATTTGGTAAAGGACAATGCAATTTGCTGGAATAAGCAAGCTGTCTTGGAGGAGCAGGGAACGAGGGGTGTTTCCCTTCTCCAATCTAGAGAAATATCCTTGATTTTTTCCTTCTGAGTAGCAGGAATGTGGTTCTGGTTTCCAGACAGACACACTGGGGAGGGAGGAAGACTCCATGTGGGGCTGGGCATGCAGCTTGGTGGTAGAGCATGTGGTTAGCATGTGTGAGGCTCTGGGTTTGGATCCTACTACTTCTCACTACACACACAAAAAGGAAGGTGGTGCATCTAGGTCAGAACTCTTCACAATGGGATGTTAATATGTATCTTGTTAAAATACAGCTTCAGACTTAGCTGACTGGGATGGTGCCTAAGAACCTGTATTTTTATAAAGTTACTTCTGGTCTACAAAGTGGCATGGATCTGCCTGGCAAGGCCAACTGTCATCTCTGTAGTATTCTTGTGTACATTTCAAGGACAGGACAGGAGGAACCACAGCCTGTTGAACTTGAAGGGTCCCCTAGGCAGGGACAATGGCCATTCTTGTGGCGAGCTGGTTAGATTGATGACTGAGAAGCAGATGGACTCTATCTGCAAAGCCTTCTGGGGTTAAGGGGGCACATCCTGGCAGGGGTTCCTACATCAGGGTCCTGGCAGATCACAGATGGCCTGGTCAAAGGGATGATGGAAGAGTTTCATGAAAGAGGTATTTACACAGCTGGGTCAGGGTTAACGGAAACAGCAAAGGATAAAAAGACACCAGACCTCAGTGGGGAGGAAGAAAGAAGGGAGGAAGCAGTGATGGGAACCCTAGGAGAGCTGTAGGAAAGGGGTCCCTGAAGCAACTGTTCCCATCAGAGAAACACCCACTCTGGAGTAAATGGCGCATCAAGGACCCATCCAGGGGAATAAATACCCTCAACGCTGCTTTTCTCTGGCCCTCTCACTCCTGCTGATGCCTGCGGAAAGAAGAAACGAACAGATCTGAAATATGTGCAAAAAGATAATGTGAAAATGTCACTATGATTTTAAAAATCATCAACTAAACTTAATAGGAAACAAGTTGGGGGAAATATTTGCACCACATATAACCTGTGGTTAACATCCCTAGTATAGAAGGATAAAAAGAAACAGATGACCATCTCCACTGAAAAATCCTAACAGCATAGGCATATGAGGAACATTAATTAAAACAACAGTGAAATAAGACAAAATACGCCATAATTCTTTTGGGCTGACTGGGACAGGACAAAAACAGAATACTCGTTACGGTCAAAGGTGCAATATGAATTGGTTTGACATTTTCAGAGGATAATTTGGCCATTGATTTTGTAAACCTTAAAATATGCAAAACTTCTGAGTCAGCGATTCCTCCTCTAAGAATTTATCCTAAGTAAACAATCAAAGATCTACACAAAACCTTATCCACCTTATCCAAAGGAATGTTTGCTATGGTGTTAATTAGGTGAAAAATTAGGGGAAGAATAATGAATGCTGATTTGGGTGAAAGCAGCTAAGGTTCACGGTGGAAGGACAGAGATGAATGTTTTGACAGATTTGGGTGGTAAGAGGTAAGAGGTGATTAGGAACGTCTAGTTAAGACAATTTCCGGTCAAGTGTCTCCCTGGTTTCTTAGCTTTCAATCACACATGACCCCCTCCTTCAAGCTTGTTCCCTACGCCAAAGCCACCTCAGAGCTGGCTGTGGTTGGCTGTCGATGGCACCTGTCGCTTTTCCGAACTGTCTGTCCCTTGGAAGTCAAGTAGGAGACTCAGGAAAACAAACCCAAACCTAACCCTAACCTACTTCATAATCATTCTGTCCATTAATAGTTAATCATTCATTCATTTAGCAGTATTACGGATTGAACCCAGGGCTTTCGCTCTAAGTCGCTGAGCTTTCCAGGCTAGGTTCGAACCTGTGATCTTCCTGCTTCAGCCTCCCAGAGTGCCATGATTACAGGGCGTACCACCACGACCCGCACGAACATCGCATTTGAACACACAAGAGAACAAGAGACAGTCGCGCTGCCCTGAGTGTTCACCGCAGAGCGAACCCAGGGGTGACGGGCGGCCCACACCCGCGGCCCTGCAGTCCCGCACACAGCCGCCAGAGCCAGCAAGGCACCGTTGTTGGAGACGAAGCCGGCGGCCTGTCGCCGGGACCCACGCACCCAGGCAACCGCGAAACAGCCCTTCCCTGGAACCCACCGATCCACCACCGAGAGGAGCGCCTAGAGCGGCCGGCCCCGCCCCGCCGCGCAAACCGCTCCCCCCCCCCCCCGCCTCTATCCCGGAAGTTGTGCCGAGTGCCAGTTCGCGTGCGACTCGCCTGTGCTGTTGTCGTTTGGGTGGTCGTGATCACCTTGCGAAAAGATCACCATGCCTGTGAGTTTTTTACTTCGGGCTCCGGACTTGTTTCCAGTCTTCTGCCTGTCGAGGGTCACGGGGGGCGGCTGAGCCCAACGGCCCCTGGCCGGTATCTCCGGCTGCCCTGCCTGGCTGGGCGCCCGAGCGAGGCGGGCGAGTGCGGACTTGCCCGGGCAAGCGGCTCCTCTTGGGCCCGGCCGGATCCGCGCGGCGCTCTGCTGGGTGGGCGCCGGCCAAGCCCTGAGAATAGGGTCTTTCTGGTTTTCTCACCCTTCGATTCTTTCCCTTCTCTCTTGTCTTGGAAACGATGTCCTGCTCGTTTCCTTTTAAAACTGTCTTTGCAGTTGCTTTACATATTAATTCCAACCTGGGCGGTCCCGCTCTGGCCTCTTGTCAGATCGTATGTGTAGCCCCGGGGGCAGAAATCACCCTGGCGTGGGTGGTCTCGGAGCTCCACCTGCGGTTGCGAGTCCAGGGTCAGAGTCTCGTTTTTACTTAGCTTGGCAGATCAGGGTTTTTTTGAGGACTGTTACTCAATTTCGTAAAGAACGGGATTAGATTTACCATATGCGTCCAGATCGTCATGAAGCCCTATTGCAGGGACTTGAAGATCACAAAGTATTGAAGTTATCATCAGATTAAAAAAAAAAATAACAGTTTTAACATCTGAAGTGCTGCCTCTGCCGAGTATGACTGTTAGTCCTATTTTGCCTGTGTATTTCTCATATGGTTAATTCTGCCAGTATTGTGCTTTAACTCCAGCAATAATAATATGCTTTTTTAAAAAATTCAGTTGGCCAGAGATTTACTACACCCTTCCTTGGAAGAGGAAAAGAAAAAACATAAAAAGAAACGTCTAGTTCAAAGTCCAAATTCTTACTTTATGGATGTAAAATGTCCAGGTAAAATTTCAAATCTTAATTCTTTTTCTAAGGGGAATTTCCATAGAATGGCTATTTTGGTGTGTGCATTTAGATACCTTAGGACCCTCTCCTGAATGGAAGTGAGACTACAGAATTGGAAATGTCGTAAGGGACATTTTAATAATGAACTCAACCATAGTAGTTTTATGGTATATACTCAGTAGTACAACATAGGGGTTGGAGGAGAGATGGGCATCCGAAGGGGATATATTTGACTTACTAAGCTGTTTAGATGATTTTTCTTTTTCATGATGCAATGAAAGATACGTTGATTCTTCAGCCTAAAGCTCTGCTGCCTAACATGGTGGCCATTAGCCATATGTGGTTACTAAGCATTTGAAATGTGGCCAAAGTGGAGAGAGTGTTTCACAGTAAAATAAATACGTACTGGACTTTGGAGATGTAGCCCAGAAAAAAATGCCCAAAAAACTTAAATGACATGCTCAGATACTAATATTTTGGAACTATTAAGTTCAATAAGCCATTTGTTTTACCTTTTAAAAAGCTAGACCAGTTTATGTTACAGATGTGGCTTGCTGTTGCACCGCACTGAAGTTCCTAATTCTTTACAGGACATAAGTAAAACATTACTTATTACTAGAAATATATTGAACAGGTGCTGTGATTTCATCTGCTTTTCACTTTTAATACTGCCTCTCCTTTTTTTTTTAAAGGTTGCTACAAAATTACAACGGTTTTCAGCCATGCGCAGACAGTGGTTCTTTGTGTAGGCTGTTCAACAGTTCTGTGCCAACCTACAGGAGGAAAGGCCAGACTCACAGAAGGTATATCAGTTACTTGGTATTTTCTAAGCTGGAGATGAAATTTTTAAAATCTTTCCTTGTGGGCTCTTTATGTAAAGGATGTATGTCCGGTTCAACTGGATAAGTTTATGCAAAGATCTCATCATTTTTTTAAGTTTGGAAAGCCTGGTTCTTCTGTAGTTGTTCACCTACTTTGCTTGGAATAAAAATAAATCAAAGCAAGAGTAACTATAAATAGTAGAACATAGGGATTTTTAACACCATAGGATTTAAAATTCTCTCGTATTTTGTTTCATATGTATTTGGTACATATAACTTAAGACAAGTTATTTTAAATAATTATCAGCTAAGGAATTAGTGTGTAAATTAAAATGCCACAAGTTTTATTTATATGAACAACTACTTATTAATATAAAAATCTAATTTTAAATCTGCTTTCACTTTAGGGCAGTAAGAAAAAATAATTATTTATATAGTTTTTCATAGTAATACTTGCAGGTTTAAAATTACTGTACTTGAAATTTGCTTATGATATTTTGGGAAGTTGTGAATTCCATGTTCTTACTCGAAGAGTTATAAGTGGGTTGGCAGTAAGTCTAGGAGCTATGTGGTGTGGCCTGGTAAGATCTGAGTACAAAGTCTGCATATGATGTATAAGAGGAAGCTTATTTCACGTCATGATCTTGGAATTTTGTGTGCGTATGCTGACAGATGGTTCAAAGGTGCATCTGTAGCTTTCCTAATAAGAGTGTATCTTTGAAGCAGTTCTAACTGTTGAATTCAGGCTCTTGGTCTTAAATAGACCCCCTTATGTTGTCTGAGAAGCCAGAAGGGTAGTTATGGTCATAGAGAATATACTCAGATATAACATTTTATTATAGCAATTCTGTGCTATAAAAGGATAAATAATTTGTGTATAAATATTAATTGAATACTCCTAAATTTAAGGTGTTTTTTTTTTTTTTTTTTTTACATAAAGTACTTTTTGCCACAAAATTACACCAAAGATGGAATAAACTTTTGTTTACTATACTGTCATGATTTCTTTGCAGGTTGCTCATTTAGAAGAAAGCAACACTAGTGATCTATACAACTTCCTGAATTTGTTTTTTTCACAGAAAGCCTTATCATAAGTTCAGTAATTATAGTTAATCTACCAAGATAATGTAATTATGTTTGATTTTGTAAGGTGCACAGCAATGATCTCCTATTTTGATGTCAGTTTTTCAATAAAGTTTTGATTATGGACAAATCTTTATTAAAGTGTGTGAGAGTATGTTGTACATTTATTTACACTGTATGTGAATTTGGTCTAAACATTTTTGAAAGTGTATTCTGATTAGTTTGTGTCTCATTTCAAGAGTATAAGCCCTAAATAAGTAATTTTCAGACCTTTTCCAAATTGTTACGAGTGGGCCTAAATATATCCTTTTAGGATTGTGACAGCTACATTTTCCCAGCTATTGGCAATACAACTCTGTCAGGTCCGAGTGTCTGCTCTTGATCCATGCTCACTTAGGCCAAAATAGCAAACTTTCTTACTTTATTTCTGTTCTGCCTGTTTTGGCTCAGTTCCTCCCTACTATGCCTAGTCTACTGTTTTCTTGCCTAGTGTGATGGTTGATTTATTGTGTAAACTTGAGTAAGAGAAGCTCAACTAAATTGGCTCAGCAATTCCACACCCTAGGGTGTAGAAGACGCACTGTAGGGCGACTTGTCACCTGGATGGCATAAAGGTGAATTAAGGAAGGATCTGCTCCTCTTTCTTCAGAGGAGCTCCAGTCTTCACATTCACTTTGGACGTCATCTGGCTTCCAGCACATACTTCAGCTTCTGGTGCAGATCCCTCAGTCTTCCATCACAGATTCATTGGCCTCCTGATACAGACTTGCATGGGATACTGAAGTGAGCTCCAGACCCTCTGTACTCTTCCACATCCGACTCTGGATACCCATTGTATATCTTGTATTATATCTCTTTCTCTAGTAAACACTGACTGGTACAGATTTTGGTACCAGGAGTGGCCCTAGAGAAACAGAATTGTAAAGATGAAATATTTTTTTTTTGGTACCAGGGATCAAACTCTGGTCCTTGCAATTGCGAGGCAGGTGGCGGAACCACTGAGCTAAATCCCTGGCAAGATGAAATTTTTTAATGGCTTTGGTGGTTCCTGGAGTTGGCTCTCTTATTTGATGAGACCTAAAGACGTCGTGGTCTCCAAATTCTGTGGGGGACACTGAGAGTCTTTGACGTGAACTGTTTAAGGTAATATGCAATGTAGATCCATTTGATTATCCTAATTCACCAGTTGTGAGATGTAAGGAATTTAGTGACTATACATGAAAGTTGAATATTGTTGGCAGAGTGGGGAATATGATGCTGCTGGCTGGTTGGTCTTGTCGTCTCTGGACAAACTAGTGAAGGAAAACAAGCTCAAAACATCCGTAGGAAATCTAAAGTCTTCTGAGGACATATTAATAAAGAAAAATGAGCTCAGATCGAAATTCCCAGCTCCATACACACAAAGGAAACGTAAAAGTTTCTAAGTGTCCTGGAAGAAAATCTCTTAGCCACAGGGGTGAGATTGCAGAAACCCAAACACAGGCCCTCATAATTCGATGGGCTGAACTACAAGGAATGCTCAGCCTCAAAGGGTATCTGAAGCAAAGGTAAGGGCACTGATTGGAAGAGAATGGGATCCCTTAAACTGGGATGGAGACGTTTGAGAGGATCCTAAGTTGAGAATGTTGAGCTTCTAGATGCTAATGAGATTATTTTGCCAGAGGAAGGGATTTCTTCACCAGCAGTGGCCTAGGAATCCCCACCCCTAACCCCTGTGGTGTTGGGCTCTCCTAGTATGCTTGAGGAAATGAATCCTGTGTTGACCAAGCATGATAATGCTGACCTACTTCAGGACCCACCCTCACCACCTGCTTTTGCCTCTAAGCCTATAACCAGGCTCAAATGCAGAAGGCTCATAGGGTGAGGTGCACAGTGTGACCCTTGAGGAAGTCTGCTGTTCTCCCAAAGACCTTGAGTTTTCTAACTCTCACAACCAGAAGCCTGATGAGCAAGTGTGAGAATGGATTTTACAGGTGTAGGATAATGACGGCAAGAATACACACCTGGATCAGTCTGAGGTATGGGCCTGTTACGCAGGGATTCTGAACTTAATGGAGTTCGTGGAGCAAAGAAAGGTATTAATAGTTTATTGGGCTGGTTGGCAAAAGTATGGATCAAAAGATGGCCCACTGTGAATGAGTTAGAGATGCCTGTTATTCCATGGTTTACTGTTGATGAAGAGATTCAGAGGCTTGGGGAAATGGGAATGCTGGTGTGGGTCTGTCATGTTAAAACTAATGCTCCACATTGGGGTGATCCAGAACATGTTCCCTTCACTAATACCTTGAGAAACAGATTTGTGAGGGGAGCACCAGCATCCCTGAAGAGCCCTGTCATTGCTCTTCTCTGTATGTCAGACCTTATAGTGGGGACCATAGTTACTCAATTGGGAAACTTAAGGGCATCCATTGGGCTTGATTGGATTCCGGAATGGCAGAGATCAAGCGACAGCCCTTAGTTGCCAAAGGCAGGGTGTGCGCACTTAACCATAATGGACACCAGAAGCAGAACAGTGACCAGCATGGTCTAATACGTGTAGACCTATGGCTTTGGCTGAGCCACGGTGTTCCCAAAAGTGAAAGAGACAGGCCTATAAAATTTTTACTAGATTTATATAATTGAAAAAATTTAAGGGCAAATGAACAGAAACCTACTTCAAATCGTGGTAACAGGGAATTATGGCTCCTCAGCCAGTTCCCAGATTTGAGCCAGTTTACAGACCCAGAACCCCTTGAAAGAAGGGGAGCCTGGGTCCCCTTGAGGAAGAATCCTGATGCACCAAATATTTACACAGTCAATCTTTCTCCCATCCTTCCCTAGAGAGACTTAAGGCCTTTTGCCTGAGTAACTACACACTGGGGGAAGGGAAATGATCAGACATTTGGGGACTACTGGACACTGGTTCTGAACTAACACTGATTCCAGGGAATCCAAAACATCACTGTGGCCTTCCGGTAAGAATAGGGGCCTATGCAAGTCAGGTGATCAATGGAGTTTTAGCAAAGATCTGACTCACAGTGGGTCCAGTAGGTCCCCAAACCCATCCTGTAGTCATTTCCCCTGCTCCAGAATGCATAATTGGGGTAGATATACTTAGTAGTTGCCAGAATCCTTGAATTGGTTCCCTAACCTGTAGTGTGAGGGCTATCATTGGAAAGGCCAAATGGAAGCCCTCAGAGTTCCTTTGCCTGATAAAATAATAAACCAAAAGCAGTATTGGATTCCTGGAGGGATTGCAGAGATTACTGCCACCATCAAGAACTTGAAGGATGCAAGGGTGGTGGTCCCCACCCCTCTCCATTTCATTCTCCCATTTGGCCTGTGCAGAACAAGATGGATCTTGGAGAATGATGGTAGATTACTGTAAACTGAATCAAGTGGTGACTCCGATCGCAGCTGCTCTATGAGATGTGGTTCCCTTGCTTGAGCAGATTAACATATCTCCTGGTACTTGGTATGCAGCTATTGATCTGGCAAATGCCTTCTCCGTACCTATCCATAAAGACCATCAGAAATAATTTGCTTTCAGCTGGCAAAGCCAGCAATACAGGTTCTCTGTTCTACCTCAGGGTTATATTAACTCTCCAGTCCTATGTCACAACTTAGTTCATAGGGATCTTGATTACCTTTCTCTTCCACAAAGTATCACACTGTTCCATTACATTGATGATGTTGTGCTGATTAGGCCAAGTAAGCAGGAAGTAGCAACCACTCTGGATTTGTTAGTAAAGCATTTGAGGACATAAGATGGGAAATAAATCCAAGTAAAATTCAAGGTCCTTCTACCTCAGTGAAATTTCTAGGAGTCCTGTGTGTGTAGAAATATCCCTTCTAAGGTAAAAGATGAGTTGTTGCATCCAGCTCCCCCTACAACCAAAAAATAGCCACAATGCCTCTGGGCCTATTTGGATTTTGGAGACAACACATTCCTCACTTAGGTGACTTACTCCAGCCCATTTACCGAGTGACTCAGAAAGCTACTAATTTTGAGTGGGGCCCAGAACAAGAAAAGACTCTGCAAACAGGTCCAGGTTGCTCTGCTACTGGGGCCATGTGACCCAGCAGATCCAATGGTACTTGACGTGTCAGTGGCAGGTAGAGATGCTGTTTGGAGTCTCTCACAGGCTCCCAGAGGTGAATCACAGTGGAGGCCTTTAGGATTCTGGAGCAAGGCTCTGCCATCATCTGCAGACAACTACTCTCCCTTTGAAAAACAGCTCCTGGCCTGCTTCTGGGCCTTAGTGGAAACTCAACGCTTGACCATGAGACACCAGGATACCATGTGACCTGAGTTGCCTATCATGAGCTAGGTATTACCTGATCCACTGAGTTGTAAGGTTGGATGTGCACAGCGACAGTCTATCATTACATGGAAATGGTATATATGTGACTGAGCCAGAGCAAGTCCAGAAGGTACAAGTAAATTACATGAAGAAGTTGCCCACATGCCCACGGCTCCTCCTCCTGCCATATTGCCTTCTGCTTCCCAGCATGAGGTGTATGATATGATCAGCTATCAGAGGAAGAGAAGGCTAGGGCCTAGTTTATTAATGATTTGGCACAATATGCAGGCACCACCTGGAAGAGGACAGATTCAGCACTACAGCTGTTTTCTAGGACATCCCTGAAGGACAGTGGTGAAGGGGAATTTCCCAGTGGGTAGAACTTCCAGCAGTGCACCTGGTAGTACATTTTGCCTGAAAGAGAAAAGGCCAGATGTGCAACTGTATATTGATTCATGGGCTGTAGCCAATGGTCTCGCTGGATAGTCAGGAACTTGGAAGGAATATAACTGGAAAACTGGTGACAAAGATATTTAGGGAAGAGGTATGTGGATAGACCTTTCCATATGGGCAAGGGATATAAAAATATTTGTATCCCGTGTATACACTCACCAAAAAATGACCTCAGTAGAAGAGGACTTTTAACAAGTGGATAAGCTGACCTGTTCTGCAGGTAGTGGTCAGCCTCCTTCAGCCACCCCTGTCATTGCCCAATGGGCTCATGAATAGAGCAGCCATGGTGACAGGGATGGAGGTTATGCATGAGCTTGGCAACACAGACTCCCACTCACCATGCTGATCTGGTGACAGCCACTGTGGAGTGCCCAATATGCCAGCAGCAGGGACCAACACTGAGCT